CAAATATATTTCAAAAATAACTGTTAAATTTAATATTGTCACTTAGTGATGAAGCCATTTTTTTCAATCCTAATTTTAATTTGTATCGCTCCACTTTTTTAATGGGGTTTGAGCTTCCACACCGTCCTCTTTAGTTTGTACGATAAAGTGACTCTTTGCTTCTTTTTAGCAGAGCTGGATGAGGAACATCGCTGCATTTGATTGGTTGGCTTGTAAGGAATCACTCACGCCTCTGGAAAGGCACTGTCCCCTATCACATTGCTATACATGTGGACTTAATTGGGGTTAAATATCTAACTTGAAGCATTTACCATCAGAGAACATAAGCTTCAGGACTCCTATGTTACTTAGATTTTACACAACATAATGACTTAATGTGCTTCTGATGAAGAGCTCTGCTTTGGAGCAACCTTAAATACCTACCCAGGAACAACAGACTCTGGCACACAGGTAATTTGGGGTCCCAGTACATTTTATAACGAAGCTAGTACAATTTTAAAAAGAATAAATTCAAAATACACAAATTGACTTCAATAAGATTAACAACACTGAGGAAGACATGTCAGGTAAGTCAAGTCAAATAAATTCTATACTGTTTATTCCCATATAAAACAATGACTTTCAATTTTGTATTCCTCATTTCCAAGCTACTCAAAGAACATGATCACTTTTCAAATTTCATTATCTGAAAGAATTTACTGAGCAAAATGCTTAGCTGCAGGACTTTACTTTTGTAACCCATCAGGTTACAATATTAGTGACTACAAGTTTCTTCCCCAGTGCAGGCATTCTGTATGTGTTTTATTTACCTTCTGTCACTTTTTATTTCCTCCTCTAAACTTTATATGCCCAAGAATGAAACTGCATTGGTGTTATGTAAGGACATTTCACATTTGCAGCATACATACTGACTTATCTGTCCCTTGAACCCACGTCCCTGAAAAAGAAACACATGTATCCAAACAGAAAAAAACTACCTTACAGTGTATGGTGACAGTCTAGGCATGTAGAAATAAAAGCACTTAAAAACAGTTGTATGGAAGGATCAAGGTGTATCTTTCCTTGTTGGTAGCAACCCCACGATTTATTAACCACCACAGGCAGCCAAGACCGTAGGCCTGCACACAGAAGTTGGGAACCCAGCGGGCATTAAGGCTTTCAGGTCTCTTACTAAAACTGTTGTGATTCGAAAAACGGAAAGCAAACAAGCGGAGAGGCCTGATGAAGTGCTCCGAACAGAGCCTCTTCGGCAGCCCGGGGTGAACCATATGACTCCGCTGGACGATTAGACCAAACGGTGCGCCGCTTTCTTTCATTGGGTCTATAAAGCCCGTAAATTAGGTTTGGTCCCGAAAAGCAGAAGTTATTAGCACCTTCCTTCCCCACTTTTTAATATCCCATACATACACAATTCTTAAGCCACGGTCTCCATTCATTGACTAAACAAGATCCTGGGTGCCTTTTTGGTGACCACTCCTCCCAAGCTGACCTGACATGACAGCGATTTGAAAGGCCCCTCTGTGGAAAGGGTCGAGACCACGAGGTTCGTCATCCAAAGGTGGACGCGACTTGCTTTTATTTACTTATTTATTCGAGGGGCGGCGATGGCCGCAGCTGGGCTAGGACGAGAGTGGAGGAGAAGGGGCGCGCGGGCTGTGAGCCGGGGATGGGAGCCCTCGGAGAAGGGGGGCAGCAGCCAAGTTCCACCAGCTCCGCCCGCCGGACCCAAAAAATGACCAGCCGCCCCCACCCCCACCCCCTTCACTGCACCCTTGATCCCTCCCCCTCTTCCCAGGCCTTTTATCCTCCCGCCTGCCCAGCAGCCCGCGACTCCCAAACCTCGCGCCAACCGCCTCCTTCCGCAACCCCCTGGGGTGGCGCGCGCAGGCCTAGGGCGGCCCTGCGAGGCCCGGGCCCCGCGAGGACCCCTACCCGACCCCTCCGGCCGCGCCCCTCCCCCTGGAATAACGCACCTGCGGCCCCGCCCCCGGCCAAACGCTGAGGCGGCGGCGGGCTGGCGAGGCCGGGCGGCTCGGCTCTCGAGGTAGTCACCTTCCCTTCCCCCGCCATTCCTCCCACCCCCCTCGCTCAGCCACGGAGCAGCGGCCGCGCTCCTCAGCCGCCCAGAAATCTAAAGGGGTCCGTCTCCGGCACCACAACCAAATGGCTGAGCCTCCCTGGCCGGCTGCGCAGCCCGCCCATTGGTCCTTTCCCCCGCCGCTGCTGCCGCCACTGGCTGTTGCCCAGAGATCCTCGGCGGCGATTGGCTGCAGCTCCTGCCGCTCATTCGCGCGACCGCAGATCCCGCCTCCACAGCGATCAGGTTTGTGTGCGACGCGGGTGCTGGGGGCTCGAGAACCGAGCGGAGCTGGTTGAGCCTTCAAAGTCCTAAAACGCGCGGCCGTGGGTTCGGGGTTTATTGATTGAATTCCGCCGGCGCGGGAGCCTCTGCAGAGAGAGAGCGCGAGAGATGGAGATGGACAAACGGATTCATTTAGAGCTGCGGAACAGGACGCCCTCTGATGTGAGCATTTGCCAAAAATATCTCTGTCGGTCCATTCTCCTACTTTGTGTATGTGTGTGTGCGTTGGGGGCGGGGGGGGTGAGGCACTTTTATTGAGGGGGGGAGCCCGGGAGGTGTGGGTTTGGGGGTCGGACTGCAAATGAATTGCAAGGTTGGGGGGTTGCAATACCATCAGAGCATGTTCCGGCTGCCGCCGCCGCCGCTGCCCTTGGTGTGTGACTACCTGTGCGTGTGCTCCCGCGTGTGCGAGTGTGGGTGCGAGAGTGTGCGTGCGAGTGTGCACCCATCGGGGGCCAGCGGGCGCACGCGTTTGGGTCGGAGAGAACGAGGAAAATGACCCTCTAGCTCGTTGCTCCCATGACTCCGTCTGGGGAAAAAGATTAACGAGGGAGGAGGAGGAGGAGGAGAGGGGCTGCCTCCCGGATTTAACAACAAAAAGGGGGGTTTATATTTTATAAATGAACCCCCCCCCCCGTCCACCAGCCCCTCCCGCACCTCACCCCTCCCTTTCACTCTCGCTCGCGCACACACAATAAGTTTTGGGCTTCGCGAGTCCGGTTTAGTTTCTGATAAATGTGGACCGGGGCCCCCGGGGAGAGCGCGTGGGGAGGGGGCTGCGGTGGAGTTGGGAATGGCTCGAGTTTAAAGTGCGTCTTCATTTCTTTGCAGTGATGAGGCGAGAGACGGGGGAGCCATATTTGTAACTTTGTAGTGTTCGTGAACGCGCCCTTTCTCTCCCTCCCTCCCTTTCTCTGCCTCTTCCTCTTCTCCTCTTTCTCCCTCACTCTTTCCACCCCACCTTCGGGCCAGATGCTGATATTTCTTTCCTTCGGAGCGGAGGATAAATGGGAAGAAGAGGGGGAGGGATTTCCGAACGTGCAAAGGCACAGATAATCCCCGCGCCTCCCCACCCCGAGCGATCGCTATTGCAAGTTACCCCAAGGCTACGTCCCGGTCCCCCCTCGCCCCCGCTCCCTCCGGACGCCAGCCTCAAACCCTGGCGACCCCTGGCCGGTCTTTCTCCAGAGGGGGCTCCTCGGCAGCCATTCGGTGCCCGGCCAGTAAATGGGCATGGGAAACTTTGTCAGGACTCGGGCTGCCCGGAGCTGGTGCCCGTGGTGGGCATTGGCTGGGTCCAGATTGATGCGGGCACCGCGAACACGCAGCTCCGGGTTGGGAGTTTGCCTGCCCGTCGCCGCTATTGATTGGGCAGCGGCGGGAGCAGGGCCGGAGGAAACTTACACGGCAGGGAACTGGGAGCCTCGGCGAGAGCTCGCCGCTGAGGAAGTGGGAGGCCAGGGTGGGTTACGCGAAAGCTCGTTTTTTGTTTTTGTTTTGTTTTCCTGGCTCCCTCTCGCTTTCAAGCGCTGTTTTATGCGAGTTGGCGGCTCCGCGTTAGAGAACCCGGGGCTGAGGCAGAGACGCTGGCTGACTCCTAGTGGCCTTTGGGGACCAGGAGAGCGCGGGCGCAGGGTCGGCGCTCCAGCCGCGGTGGCCAGGGTTCCCGAGTTGGCGGAGCACCGTGCTGACCTGTCGCCCCTCCAGCTGATTAAACCCCGAATCCCCGGCGAAGACAGGCCTCGCTTCCTCTTTGCTCTAGTTCCTCCCCCAAACCTGAGTGAGACTTTTGAAAACAAGATCCTTTTTGTGCCTCCCCCCCGCCCCCCATCATAACGCAGCTGTGGAGTGTAGACGTGCGGAGCCTGATGGCGCGCAGGGCGGGGAGGGGTGCCCGGCGGAGAAGGCAGGAGTTGCCTGGAACAATTTGCCGGCGGCTTGCCTTTCTCTGGTCGGTTCCCTGCCGGCTGAACCCCAAGCCGGAGGGTTTGGGGGCTGGGTGTGGTGATGGGGGAGGGGGCCCGAGCCGCGGTCTTCCCGCGTACTTTCCGGAAGCCCCCCGTGCGGAGGGGGAAGGGCGCCGAGCAGGGGGCCTGGGTCTCGGCGGGTGGCGGCGAGTGGGGGCGCGGATCGCCCGGCCCACCCGTCCACCCTGCCGGCCACCTGGGAGCGAGCTCGAAAGCGGGTCGAACCGGCTCTTTAAACTTCCGAGTGTGTGCGGGGGGAGGGGAGCGCGCCGAGCAGGGAGCGATTTCTCACGCTTCGCCCCCTCGCCGCCCAGGCGCTCTGCCCACGCGCCTGCCCCGCGCCTCGAGGCCGGGTGGGGCTCGGGGAGTGGAGGGGGCACTTTCTGCGCGTTTGGGGAGGAGGGGAGAAAGCTCGCTAATGAGGGACAAAAGAGGTGGGGGAGGAGGAACTATTTTTTTTAACGTTCTTAAGACAAATAGCTTCCGGAGAGCGCCCCCCGCGCCCCTGCCCGCCGCGCCGCCCCCCGGGGCCCCCACACACCCACCTGGCGAGCCTCTCCCAACTCCGATCCGGGGGCTGGTGGCCGCGCCGCGCCGCTGGAATAGGATGAGCAGCCATGTTTCCCGGTCTCGCGCGGCCCGCCCCGCCCCTCCCCCACCGCGCGGCGGCGGAGCGCGGGCCCCGAATGCGGGCGCCGGGCTCCCCGCGGCTCCAGCGGGAGGGCGCTGGGCCTGGTGCTGGCGGGCCGGGGCGCGGGCGCCTGCGGTTGGTCCCCGGGGCGGGCCTTTGGGCGTCCGGAGCTGGTTTGGAGCTCGAGGTGTTTTATTATTTTTTTAACGGCCAGACCCGCCCGAGGCCGAGCCCCAAGGGCGACGAGGCATTATTAGGGGGCAGGGGCGGCCGCCAGGGCCCTGTTCGCTTATGGCACGACTGCCGGGCGCCAGGCTGCCATTTTGTCACCGCGGCTGTTGTCGCTGCGGGGGGAGGGGGGGAGCCTTGCGCCATCACCCCGACGGGCCTGGACGTGGAGGCAGCTTGGGGAGGTGCCCCCAGCACCCTCAGATGCGCTATGGGACCCGATGGGTGTCCCCTCCCCGTGCCACCCGCCTGAGGCTCTGCTGGAGCGTCGCGATCGCTAGCTCGTTCCTTCTAGTCCCCCCCTGCCCCCCACGGCGCTCCTCAACCCCCCTCCTGCAGTCGTTTTAGACGTAGTTAAATGTGGTCCTGAGGACGAACCTATCACCCTGGTGTTTGTTCTTTCCTCGGAATTGATAGGAGGGGGAGGGGGGAGAAACTGAACCGGGGGGTTCTTTTTGGGGAGGGGATGCGCACGCAACTCTAGCGCCCCGACTGAAGCCGGGACCGCCGCCGCTTCCTCGGGAGGGACGCGGCGCGGGGGAACGCCCTGGAGGCTGGCTCTCCGGGGAAGGTAGGTCTTGCTCCGCGTTTCAGGTGGGTGCTGCAGCGCCCTGCAGGTTGATAGGGGAGCCCCTCCCCGCCTTCTCTCCCCGCCTACATTTATTTTTTACCCAGGGGAAGGCAGCTACGGTACTAAATGGAACCGCAAACGGATAAAAGAAGGGAATAGGTTTGCTTTTTAAGAAGTAAGTGATGTCTTTCTTGCAGACTCCCCTTCTCTGGCTATTGACTGCAGAGCCAGCCAGACAAGGTGTCCTATAGGTGGCATCTCTCTGGGACTTTTTAAAGCCGATAGGATGCTGATTAAACACCTCTCTGGTTAAACTGGTGTCTGCAGAGAGACTAGCTTTCATGGCAGCGCCCAGCAAAGGCTGCCCAGTAAGCCAGGTTTAACTTTGACCTTTGGAATACATCGCCTGATGTTTTCCAGTCTGACTTACTGCTTAATTGGGTTCAAGTAGGCTGGTGTTAATTCCAGTTTATGCAAGCCAACGCAGAATCCACAGGCTGAAAATTGAGCATTGAGCTCGGGATAGTCATGGTTAGTTATGTTTTGTTACTGAATTGCTGCTGCTGATGGTAATTTTAAGTTTGGGGGCTGGGTCCACAGTAAATCTTGGTTCTGGAACCACACAGATCTGGGTTTGAATCCTGCCCCGCCCCCCCCAACAAAAGAGGTAAGGTAAGTTAACCTGCCCCTGTGAGCTGAGCAGATCAACCTAACCTACCTTTCTGAACTTTGGTTTCCTAACCTGGAAAACGGAAGTAATAATCCTAGTTAGTGCGTAAGCGACAAATCTGGCTTGATCTGGCCCTCAGGTGTTCAGTCTATGATAGCCTTGTTCTCTGAGAGATATGGAATGCAATGGGGCACAACTCTGAACCCCTCTTCAGATTAGAATAACAATAATAGCTAATGCTTTACATTGTACCCATGCTGTGCCTGGCGCAGTTCTTAGTGGATTGTGCCTATCAGTTAATGTAGTCCCCACAACAGCACTATGAGGTAGAAGATACTCTTATTATTCTTGTGTTACGCATGAGGAAATTGAACACAGGCTATCACAACCAGTCTGTCCTCAGTCTCTACTCTCCGCTGCCCCTCCTGAAGCACCCTTTTTTGTAAAATACCTTAAGGAAGAGCTTTTTTGTTTCAAACTTACCTTAATGGCAAGTGAGTTTCCTGTGTTGACAGTACGAAGACTGGAGGGCCTCCTGATTGAAGATGTTGGGAGAGTTGGTCAGGACCAGAAGTTCTGTGGATTATCTTTTTTTTTACTTAAATTTATTGGGGACATTGGTTAATAGGGTCATATAGGTTTCAGGTGTGGATTTTATGTTAACAAGATCTGTACATTGCACTACCCAAAGTCAAATCATCTTCCGTCACCATATATTAGGCCTCCTTCACCAACCCACCCACACCCTGGGTTATCATTTTAAGGGGGAAGCCATACACTTTCTGAGTTTGGTTTAGCATGTCACCTCTCATTAGATTTGAAGCAAATCTGGCCTTTTAGGTATTGGGGGGTGCATTTGGGGTAATGAAAAGACATGCAGGAGCCACTGTTAGGCACTGGTTTCTATGGGATCTTGTATGTTACACATTTTCATTACTCTCCATCTATAGCCAAAAACTGAACAGAATTGGCATGCCCTTGGTGTTTAGGACTAATATGCTAATAATACTGCATGGGTCATTTCAGTCCTCTCAAAAACTCCTTCAGGGTAGGCCAAGAATTGTGACATCCTGTTCTCCCTGTTGTGAAAGTGAATCACTGAGGGTGGGAGAGAGGGTGGAACAGTTAGATAGCAGGTGAGTAGCAGAGTTGGGTTCTCCTCTCCTTGTAAAACCAGAGGTGGACAGTAAGGACTTTGCAAATTATAGTCTGTTGATGATGGCCCATCACCAGAATCATGTGGGGAACCTGTTTTGGTACAGCCCATGAGCTAAGAATAATTGTATATATAAACATTATACACTATTTGATGATATGGAACATTTACCTTTGAATCCCAATTAAGTAAAATGTTATTTCCCCCGCACAAAAGAATTCTGTGTTAGACCTTTATTACAAAAATTATACTCACATATTTTTAATTTTATCAATAAAGGAATTGTGGCCCTGACCGGTTGCTCAGTGGTTAGAGCATCAGGCCAAAGGGTTGCGGGTTCAATTCTGAATCTAGGGCAGTCCAGGTGTGCAGGGAGGCAACCAGTCGATGTGTCTCATATCGATGTTTCTCTTTCTCCCCATCCTCCTTCCCTTCTACTCTCTCTCTCTCTCTAAAAATCAATGGCAAAAATATCCTCACATGAGGATTTATTTATTTATATTTTAATATATTTTTATTGATTTCAGAGAGGAAGGGAGAGGAGGAGAGAGAGAGAGAAACATCAATGTTGAGAAAGAATCATTGATTGGCTGCCTCCTTTAGGTCCCCTACTGGTGATGGAGCCCACAACCTTGGCATGTGCCTTTGACAGGAATTGAACCCTGGACCCTTCAGTCCTCAGGCCGGCGCTCTATCCACTGAGCCAGACCAGCCTGAGCATCACGTGAGGATTAAAAAAAAAGAAAAAAACTAATAAAAAAGAGAATTGTGGAAATTTGTTTTCTCTCATTATAAAAGTGCCTGTGTAGTACTGTCAGTTTTGCCTTTCGGTAAAGTTTACTATTTGGTCCTTTACAGAAAAAGTTTGGTAAGCTCTGGTTTAGTAGAGTAGGTGGAGGGACCCTGAGATCTGGGTTTTTAAATTAAAAATTTTTTTTATTAAGCCATTCATTTGGTTGGTGCTTTGGGGGCTCTCCAAATCCTTGTATGTATGCCCTTTAACTAGTTGACACCTAGTAGAAATCAGTCTCAATCCAAGAACCTGCATTAGAAGAGAAATTCTCCTTGTCGCCCTCTTAAAATTGAACACCCTTCTATCCAGAGGTCCTGTGTAACCAGCTAAAATTCTTTATCTTGCATATTCAGAATATTTAAAAAGGCTTTTGCATATCTTGTAGTTACATGGTTACTTTTTAAGTCTTCTTAGAGCTAGAGGGTAGGAGCTTTGAACTGCAACGGTTTGAGCTTTGAGGCCTGGTAAGGTGCCACAGCTGTGCACCCAGTGGCTGACATCCGACCCTCAGAGCACAGATCATTGAAAACCACAGATAACCTTGGCATCTCTGGTTTGGGCATGCTGCTCTTACTCCATGCATGTTTCCTGGAGAACGAACCAGCTGAAAAGTGGCTTTGAGCTTCCAAGCCCTTCTTTCTACCTCTAGCCTCGTGTGCCTGAGCCACTGAACGAAGGGAATGGATGTGAGGTTGGCCAGGCCTGGGGGAGGAGATGCTAAAGCCAAGAGAATGAGGATAGCAAACCACAGACTCAGTTCCCTGCCTTAGCTGCTGCTGCATCACCGGCCGCTCCGGTGACTTACTCTATCTAGACGTACACAACCCTTCTTAGAGGAAACACAGGCACCGGGTTGAGCTTGGAGAGCTGGTCATCCCAGAGGTTAGGTCCAAATCAGTCATACCACAGACATAGAAAACTTGGGGCTTTTGGTGATCTGTTATGGAGAGAGTGTAGGGTTCTCCTCAGATAGCTGTCTCCTGTTGCCTGCCCTCTCTACCTTGGTGCGGTCACCTAGGAAGGAGAACTTGCGGCTGAGTGCTGGCGAGCCCTGGCAGAATGACTTGGCCCCGTTGTTTGGCCTGCATTCTGCCTTGGTAAAGAGGAGACTCCTTACACTGGTGTCCAGAGGGGGCACTCCCTTACAGATGTTTGCTGCCATGTCCCCCCATTGTGACCTGCCCATCCCCTGCTGTGGCTAGTTCTCTGGTCTCCTATAAAGGACCCCTATAAAGGGTCCCTGTCACCACTGCCTTCCTGCCACAAGTAGAGAAACATGGACCTGACTCTGAATCTTAACATTACATTGAAATGTAATTTTATGACAAATGATAAATGCCCAACAATGATGTTTTCATTAAAGAGATGGAGTCTGGCAGGGATGGAGAATTTCGAAGGCATGTGTTGTTCAGAACTTCTCATTTAGTAAAATTCGTTGAAAAGGATCCACAAAGCACTCAGGGCCACCTGTCCAGACACGGAAGCACCTTCCTTGTATAGAACTAGTTGTCCGATGAGATTGATTAATGCAAAGTCTGTAAACAAGATAAAACTTCTTTGCTCTACCACACCAGCCCCTGTCCTGTGTCTACTGGGCCATACCCTGCAACCCCCACGTTTTCACTCAAATTCATTTTGTTTTGGCTCTACCGCTGCCCTGATATACTTGTCTATCTTCTCCTTTACCCAAACTTGCTCCAGGCAGCAGATTTAAAAGATCAGCTTACTATCTTTTATTCTAATTTGGATTAAAGTCAGGGCTTTCTTTC